ATATATATAAGTATTTATATACATATATACATATATACATACATATATATATATGTGTGCGTGTGTCTATACAAACTTACAAACATACATACCTGCATGTAAACATGTATATATTTGTATATTTATAGATATATACATACATATACACACGCACATACACACCCATGTATGAATATTAACATAGTCATAAACATGAACATAAACATGAACATGAATCCATATATAGATATATAGATATATCTATATAGCATCGATGTATATAATCCTCCCACACCGACGATGTGTTTGCAGTGCACATACGATATATTTGGCTTCACTCAGAACACGTAGACTATGGCAGGTGTTAGTTTGGGTTGTACCTTGGCAACGGCGACGGATATCGCTCTTTTGTATATGCGATTGAGGTTTAAATTGTCTCTCGTACCTTGACCGTAGCTATGAGTAGCAAGAATCATATCCTGCGTGCAATGGAAGTTCATCTTTAGTTTAACATCACATGGTATAGTGCAAATATATATTGTCATTCCACCGCATGCCTTTCAAAATAGTACAAACATCAATTATTCCTCCATCGCACAGCGAAAGCAAGCCGTTCAATATAATACATCAATTATTATTCCATCGCACATCGAAAACAAGCCGATCAATATAACACATCAATTGTTATTCCATCACACAGCAAAAGCAAGCCGTTCAGTATAACACATCAATTGTCATTCCATCGCACAGGGATTTCTATATCGGAGCTTCTAGTAGTTGTCGAGGGCCATGAGTTGTAACAGGATCAAACCAGTGTGCGTAAAGTACTTGAATATATGTACATGTGCACACATGAACTTAAATATATGCACATGTGCACACATGAACTTAAATATATACACAATGTGCACACATACGCTTAAAATATACACATGTGCACAAATAGACTTATATACTTAAAGATGTTCACACATGCACACGTAAACATAAATATACACACACGTGCCCTAATCGCCCACATGACCGTCCCGCCGCCCACTTACCGATAGTGGGTCGGATTCTTTCGGCCTTTCCAGAACTAACAGCTGTGCCAGGTACTCTGGATTGTTGTGCAGCTGATAGAAAAGATGACTGTAAACATCCAATGACGGATATTCCTTAATCATCTTCTTGGCTTTGTGTTCCTCTATAAGCGACTGAGGTTTATATCGCTCTGTAACCGATTCTTGTGATCGGCTACTTTTGCGACTGAACAACCTCGTGCGCGTGGGCGTGCGAGTGCGACGTAACGAGGCCGTACTTTCCTCAGCGCGGAGTCTGTGGCGGAAACGTGATTCAAGAATTTTAGCGATTTAGAGTTATAGGGTTTTCGGGCTTAGGGTTTTAGGTGGCTTGATCCCTGGCTTTCTGTTCCTGTATCTACGACTGTGACCTGTACCGCTCTGTGACTGATGCTTATGATCGGCTGAGACTGAATATACTCGTGCGTGTGCGACTTAACGAGGCCGTACTTTCCTCAGCCACAGACTCCGCGCTGAGGAAAGTACGGGCTCAATGCGTCGCATTCGAACGAGGTTATTCAGTCGCAAAAGTAGTCGATCACAAGAATCGGTTACAGAGCGATACAAGTCTCAGTCGCCGATGGAGGAACAGAAAGCCAGGGGGGGCCTGTGCTTTGTTTGTGAGTGCATTTGCTCTCTACGATGATTTGGCAGTAAGTGACTGATGTTGTCAGTTGCACTCCCCTGGTCCATACAGCATTAGTGTGTAGCCCGAGACTTTTGTTACAAGGACACAACAACATACCATATCAATTTATACGACAAATGATTTGCCGACGCAAATGATACCATACCTCAGCCAAACGCAATTAACAATCCGCACTATTGTTTGAAAGTCGCACTCCTGCCTACCAGTGGCCATTGATTCGCATGCTCCACTACACCTGCTATTCAGTTGACAGGCTACGCCTACATCAACAGGCCACACACTCACTTCGCACAGATAAATAAATACGCTACGTAAAAAGAGACTGCTACACGTACTTATTCTCAGTCATCAGTTTGATTTGGGATTTTTCGTGGTCCAGGCTAGATGTGAAGTCCTTCACCTCTCGGTGTGCATTGACGACCTTCATTTTAAGTCGGTGATACTCTGTAGAAGACATTGACCAAATGTTAGACATTCGAATGATAAAACATTTAAATGTTAGCTATTCAAGGACGACAATTCAGAACAGAGTACACTAGAGGGATGCAGTGACTAGAGAAAGGTTTAGGCTTTAGGGTTTGGAGTTTAGGGGTCAGTGAGATTGTAAAGTACAGATATTCGGAAACTCGTTGAAATACTTGAGGAAACCCCTTAGCCAATGAACAATTAACCCACAGTACACTTAGTCAATCAATACACACGTGCCAACTAATGTCAACAAGTACAAACAGCCAACGAACAATAGACCCACAACACCACTTAGCCAATCAATACACACATGTCAACTAATGTCAACCAGTACCAACAGCCAACGAACTATAAACCCATAGCACCACATAGCCAATCAATACACATGTGTCAACTAATGTCAACCAATACAAACAGCCAATGAACAATAGACTCACAGCACCACTTAGCCAATCAATACACATATGTCAACTAATGTCAACCAATACAAATGTGTCAACTAATGTCAACCAGTATAAACAGCTAATGAACAATAACCCCACAGCACCACTTAGCCATTCAATACACATGTGTCAACTAATGTCAACCAGTACAAACTGCCAATGAGCAATAGACCCACAGCACCACTTAGCCAATCAATACACATGTGTCAATTAATGACAACCAATACACACGTGCCAACGAACAATAAACCCATAGCACTACTTAGCCAATCAATACGCATGTGTCAACTAATGTCAACCAATACACAGCTGTCGATTAGCTTGTTAGGTATAACAGTGCCGTATTTAGGACTGCGGACACACTGACCTTTGGGTTAGGGTAATAGAGTTTTAGGGGATTTTGGGTTTAACTGACCTTGATCAATCTGCGCGGACGTCGTTGCGGGAGGTAGCATTAACGCTTCAATGGCTCGCTTCACGGCCCACAGAGTAGGCTCGTTACCTTCTGTGGGAGATGACGAGAGGTCAGAGAACTTATACACACGTATGCATGGATGGGGTCATTCTGCCACAACAGCATTACGGCGGATCGCGTTAGCGTGTATGTTGGCGGTGAGAGCTGCTGGGATGTTCATATGTTATGTGCTTTGGTCTGAGCGCTGCACCCCGGTTCCTCGAGCACTAGCACATCCCTATGGGACATCTATTTGCCTTAGGCATGGCCATATAGATGCACACCAACCCACACTAAAGTATCTTGCACACTGACATGTCTGCCAAGGTATAAGTAATGTTCACACATGCCTACTAATATCTTGTCGACTGTTTCAGGGTTTAGGGTTTGGGATGAAATAATACTTACTCAGAGATCTCCACCATCTGCGGGTTGCCTCTCCTCTGCACCACGCCTGCAGTCGGACAGCCGCCTGCCACGCCACTGCACTCTCCAGAAATTGAAGTCTGCAATGGTGTAGGTAGCAATAGACAGTAAACACCTTGTTCGTGGCATATGACATTCTATAGAAGATTCCAAAAAGACTATAGACATTTGTTCGTCGTATACAATAGTCATTGAGTGCACACATTCAAAGTTCTCACAAGCTACACATAGCAAGCACAACTACAGATGGTAAGGGCTGATTTTTTCCAGTAGGATCGCATGGCACTCCCGTGTCTTAAAACGCTAGAACCCGAGAAATTACAAATCAACTGCACTTCTTAGTACGAACAATCGTTTTTTATCATTGCAAGATGTATCAGAAGCGCTACAATCCCAAAATAATACTAGTTGTGGATTTATAATTGCACACACGAAACCAATGAACCGTTCTTTAAACAAATGAGACACCGATCGCTAAACAAGATAACACATAAACCCACTCGCAGGGCCACCACAGCCACTTACCTCTTCAGCTCCTTTTGTGTCTCCTCGATGTTTTGGTTTACTTGCGAGATGATCTTCTGGATCGTCTTCAAGTTCAAAGCTGTACTTCGCACTGTGGTCAATGAGGTGGAATGTAAAAATTTTGAGGTGCTGTGTGAGACCGTTGAGGTGCATTGTGAGACCGTTGAGGTGCAGTGTGAGACCGTTGAGGTGCAGTGTGAGACTGTTGAGGTGCAGTGTGAGACC